CTAGTTTGCTGTGTTTCGTCTATTACGAACCTCTGGCTGTAACACAAACACACAAATTACCATTGTATGACTCTTAGTTATAAGTCAGCAATTCGTTCGTGCTAGATTTTCCAGCACATAGCTATTGTCCTTATTCTTTCTATTCCTATGGGGCTCCGAGTCTATTCTCTTCATGGAGTTGTCGCCAGTACGTAGTCACGCCATTCCTGAACACCGCGGCGATCTGGCGTAATTGCTTAACATCCACGGCTTCTCGGAGCGAGTAAAGCAGATTTTCTGGCGTATCGTCGCAGGAATGTTGATGAATAATTTACCTATCGCCTATTGGTGATGCAATGGGAGGAGGAGGAGGGCTTCGCAAAACGCAGTAACAATGATCTTTCTATTTGTTGCTTAAAGAAATCAAACGTGTAATTTTGTAATTTTTTATAAATTTATTTATGCTTCGTCTTTTAAAAGTAAAAAAACAGCTATTGCCCAAGTCAAATCTTAATATTTTTCACCACAATCAAGATGTAATATACTATTATATGCAACTCAAAACTCCCAGGTATGAAACAACTCACCAATTTTAATTGTACTTCAAAAGAATGTGAAACAAAAAAATCTAAACCGACAAAAATGTACGCAATAACATATTAGACGAAACTGGTGGACAATATTTATAGAGTCCGTCTGCACGAGGATCAAGTGGAGCGAGAATGTCAATGAACAAATGAAAATGGAGCTTGTTACGAAGTGGACAATATGAAGTAGATAAATCTGACTGAGAAATGTTTCAATTAACATACATACTCACTACTCTAAACATTACATGCACTAAGACAACTACACGTATTGGAGGACGCAATTGGGAAGTTTAAACGTTTATCCCAAACTGATGGTGACCCCACTGAAAGGAGGTACAGTTGGGACGGAAGCCTTCGGCTAGCCATGTGTCCAAGTTCAAGATGTACTTCAGAGAAAATTACTCGCGGCAGCGTGTTTTGGAGAGAGGTGAAAATGAATTAAATATTGCCACTCTATAGTCAACGAAAAAGCCCGCGAGAAGAACTACAATTTCCCGAAAAGTTCTTACAGCATTTCTAAATCTCTTGTCGTTTAAAAGAAAAGATTTTAGTGAGAGGAAACTTCTGTATCTTTAATATTTTAGCTGTCCAAAAAGTTTTGAAATTTTGTAATTTTTTCGAAAACTCAAGAGGGTATTAATGAATAATGGGGACCTACAGCATCTAGCTCTTAATTCACCTTTGATCCATGCAAGGCAAAACTTTGCTCAAAACGATGAAGCCCCAATTTTTTGAAATGATAGAGTTTGAAAATGTACCACGGGGTTTCACGTTAAGCGTACACTCAAATAAAGTATTGGGTTTTCAAATTCCAAAAGAAGCCGCGACCTCTAGGCAGCCAGATCGAGTAGTGGAGAGTAATCCTTTTGGATGAAATCGACTGAACGGTTACCAACCACACTAGCTTCTGATCACAGACGAAACAGTGCAAGAATGCCGGTCAAGTCGATTTTCTTTGTTATCAAGGGGCCCACAATACACGGATTTCTGGCTCGCATACTTCGTGTTAGGAAAGATTGTTTCGATATCTAGAAATTTAGAGTAGTTGATATTGTGCACTTAGAAAAATGAATTAAAAATCTACATAATTTTCAGAATGCTTGATGATGTTTTATTGTGATGCTTATGAAGTAGTTGATATTGTTCACTTAGAAAAATGAATTAAAAATGTACATAATTTTCAGAATGCTTGATGATATTTTATTGTGATGCACAGCATTATGCAGTGGACTCTTCTTATCAGTGGCATTAAATATGGGGCGAAATTGTTTTAAATGCATAAAATTCTACTGGACTAAAATCCAAAGAGGACTTGAACGTAGAGTGAACCGAAGTAATATTGACGAAATCTTAGAAGGCAAAGATCCTTGGAACCATAAGGAAAGAGGTTAGGACAAGAAAGAGGAAGAAAAAATTTCACGCGGTCCGTCGCTCCTTTTTAGGATACTTTTCCAGCATTCGCCTGGTTTGATTGGAGAAATTACGGAAAACAACCCATCAGAACAGACCTCCACTAAAATTATTGTGCAGACCGCGGCTGATTTCGATCCAGCTACTGTCGAAATCCTCAACCGGCAGTTCTTCAAGTCTCGGAGCTCCCGGTCACTATCGGTTGTATAGGCATTTGCCAATGATACGAACTCGTAGTAACAACCTCACCCACCGCAGATGACGTCCAGGGTGAAGAGCTCCGCCGGCGGGTACACGTTGAAGTCGGCGTCGCCCGCCTGCTTGCGGAGCTGCCGCACGAACTCGTCCCCGCAGCTGTTGAAGACCTGCACGAACTGGTCCACGATCTTGAAGTGGAAGGCCGGCGTCAGCGCCTTGCGCCGGGAGCGCCATTTCTCTCCTGAAACACCCGTTTGTCGGTGAGCAGCGGCCGCTTGGAACGAGGCGAGCTGGCAAATGGTTTCCTGATGGCACTTGGCTGGGCGCATCTATTTGTTTTTACTTCCTAAGCTACTACGTACCAAAGATTTTTAATGGTGCTACGAAAAGTATTGTAATGCTGGAGCGAAATGCACGATAAAGCAGCAGTTAAAGGTATTGGAATGCTGCAGCGGGCATTAGCGATTTTTAAACAGAAAAATTGGTTTTATGAATATCTGATAACATTTAAGTGGATAATTCTTTTTTTAGGATTACGTATTTCTTATTTTTATTCACAGCCAAATTAATTTAAAACGCAGTTTAATTGTACATGTTGCACATTTATTCAGACTTCAATTTTACTTGTTATAGTCTTCGGGGTTCATTGTATCGTACAACGTTTGGAAAGAGTTCTTCGGCATTTTTAAGTACATATCATTGTTTAATCATTCTATCATAGCATTATTTCTATGGTGGGAGTAGAAGAAGCATAAAACACTTTGATGATTTTATTGCATGATCGTGAAGTTTAACTGGTAACTTCAATATTAAATCAATTTGGCTTCTAAACGATATATTAATGGATAATTCGTTTTATACTTTCTAGTCCTTACGTTTTTATAGCTTTTGTTGAATAACAATTGGAAGTTACTCTCAAAAAATATTTCACATTATACTTTTCAGCGTTCAAATTTAGGGTAATTTGTCTAACGTCGCAAACTTGTCTGTCTGCAGTAAACGCTAGTTCATACATCGTTCAAATTTTCTTTAAAATTGGAACTAACTAGAGTCCATGCGAGTATAAAACAGACATTTCGGTTTTTGAGGGTACTTAACACGCATTTTTGATGATGATGATGATGATGATGATGATGCCTTTTTGAAGATTTTCCAAAAAAATAGCTCCAAAGTTTCAATTGAATAAAGAGATCGTTCTTTGATAACATTGGTACAGATCTCTTTAAAAATGATACGACTGTCATTTTTGTTAAAATTTTCGAACTTTTTAAAATTGCAAAACGTGTTCGGCGATCTCTTACAACTACAATATCGAATTTTTTCTTAAGAATATCTGTTTTTTAAGACATCTTTAAATAAGGGCAGATGTATTTGGAATGTAGTTTTTGCCTAATGTTATGAGAAATGGAGACAATTTAAGAACCGTTGGACCGTTTAATATCAGTTTTGTAATCAATCTTGACGTTTTAAACACTAGAATTTTCCTCGGTAGGACAGAGACGGTTTTTGGTAAACGAACTTTTCAGTATCAATGACCCACAAAATGTGGATTCTGACATCACACGTTAACTAAAGTTATTTGCTTGCTGTATGTAAAAGAAAGAATTATCCACTTTTCTGTATCAGGGGCTATAAAATGGGATTTTCTGACTATAGGCCGCCTATTTTTGCTATAACACTACAATAACATTGACAATTCATATTATCAATACACATTACCAATTTCTCTTTTTTGTAAATAGAGTGTACAAAAGGGGAAATATTGCAGATAACTTGAATTAAAATATTCTCACATACAACAGTAGTTTATTCAACTCATTTATTTTGTCACATATATCACTTAATAAAATATTTCATATACATTACCTCCGGAAGTAACAAGTCCCGTTCCTAGCCAGAGATTAAGCACTTTGTATAAAAATCCCTTTTCTGTATATTTTTGGTTGGACAGCAGCATCTGAAACATTGTTGTGAACGTTCGTTTATAACTTAAATATTCTTAATGTTACACACTACTCTTAATATAAATAATAAAAAATATATATTCATAGAAAAAATAATTATATTATTCTTAGTATAAAAATATAATAATAATAATAATAATAATAATAATAATAATAATAATAATAATAATAATAATAATAATAAATGAATCGGTCAAATAATTAAATAAGCACATTAGGGGGCAAAAGGGATTGGGTGCCAGAAATGTAGAACCAGAGGCGAAGGTGCGGGCGATTTTCTGGGCGCGTTTTATTTCAGGCGTTGAAGAGGCCAAACACTGGAAGAATAATGTGTGACGTCCGCGTCATGAAATAAATAAATAGATTTAAAAGTCTGGTAGATTAGCTTGTATTTAGATTCTGACGCCAGATTTTTCCTCTTTAGGTTTTTTTTCCTCAGCCGTACCTCATAATCTCTTTTCCGCGGCTTTGATGCGATGGAGAGACTATTTAAGGTGAATATCAGAATTCAAAATGTTAGAACGACGTAGGATGTAGGTATTGTAATACCTAAATGGTCTTCAGCCTAGCCACATACTATCAAGTTATTTAATTTGTGTTTAAATAATTACACTACAAAAAACTCGTATTTGTCACCTTTTGAAATCCAATAACTGATTTTATATATTTAAAGTGCAAGGATCACAGAAATAATTTCCATTTTCTCGTTTCATATCAGGTTTAAAAAAAATACATTTAAAAAATATTTATAATATCTTTACCTTGAAAATTGGAAAGCATTGTTTAATTTACCCAACATTAAGAACGGAAATACTGTGTACCTTATATTATTATTTTAACAGTTACGAAAATGAAAATTCAACACATTAACTTATGACCATTACTTTACTGTTGAAGTTACACTTTACTGTTACAGCCACTGTTTTTACGCATATTAACAGTAAATAGAACCGTTGTCGCTCAGACAAAAATATTTTTGTTCCCCTTGTTCTCTTGTATACTCTAGAAGGATCATTGATGTGTTCCAACGCCCTACGTAGCGCCTTTCAATGTCTTTAATATCTTCGTAAAACCTTTCACCCTGTTGTTCACTCATTCCTTCCAGGTTTCAAGGAAAGCAGTTTAAATGGGAGTGAAGGAAATGTACTTTCAGACTCATGTTACATCCTAAGGCTTCATATTTTTTCAGCATAATATTTACATAATACTCAAAGTTAGGATCTTCATAATTTCCCATCAACTTATATACTTCTTCTGTGAAGCCAACTAAGCTTCCCTATCCGGATGTGTCATACATGCTTCAAAATGTTCATCGATCTGCGGCCCAACAAATATACTGCGTTGAATTTTCCTTCTGAGAGGGTGGGAAATTTGTTTATTAGATATTTAAAACAACTTCCGTTCTTATACAGTGCTTTAGTAAATTGGTTCTTTAATCACAATTTAATATGTAAGGGAGGTAACATAAGTTTGTCAGGATCTACTAAGATGTTTTTATAAGGTTCTTTGAACCCGGAATCAGTGTGTTTCTTCTATACTATTCTCGTATTGTTCAATAATTCTATCTCGTCCGACCCATTCACAAATTTGACATAGACAAATGTAACCCTATTGTTGTCCTAACAACAAGCACAAAACCTTTAAATCACCCGAGATAATCTATTTTATATTCCTCATAATTTAATTTTTCGATTAGCAATTTAAGATTGTCATATGTCTCCTTAACATAGACAGAACATGTCCCTGGTACAGATGATAAAGTCTTACCAATGTGTACCAACATTGTATTTTGAACTTCATTTGCTTGAATCAATGAAAATACTCCATCCATCTATTTTATACTCTCCTAACTTATTTATGAGGTTTGCAATATAAGTGAAAAATAATAATCAATTTTCCTGATTAAAAAACCGACCTTAAGTCTTTGTCTCTGTGTGTAAACTATAATATACGATCCTGAAGCTAGATGATTGTTTTCTTTCAGACGTAGAGCTAAAACTTCAGAACCATCCTTTGAGAGATTTAAATATCAGACCAAATTGTTCAGTTCTGTTTGTGTTAAAGGTTTGTGTTTGTCCAATTATATTCATCAGCCTACTCGCCTGGGATTGAAATGGAATCAGAATGCAGCGCTTCGAGGTTCGAAGGAGGTTCAGGTATGGGAACGTCAGTGCCATGTGGTACAGGCCTTCTGACAGACTCCCAATCAGGATAAACCATTCAGTTTCTGTTCTTTGTATTGAATCATTTTACTTGGCAAATAAAAGATAACAATCGATTTTTGACTCGCGCTACACCATAAGAACTCCAAAATGCAGTCCCTTCCTCTTCGACTCGCTTCTTTGTTTTAATAATATTTTATTTTGCAATTGGTTTGAGTACAAACATTTGGCAAAAATGCATACAATTTTTTAATAACATGAGAGGAGTAAGGTCCATTGACCGGACTCCTAATATTACATTTTTTTTCAGATTAACACACACTAAACATTTGATAACTAAACTAACATACTAAAAATATAAGATGATAAGCATATATAATAATAAAACAGAAAATAATACAACAATTTATAGTCGATATGTCAGGTCTAAAGTATGATATCGTTTAAGTCGTCTGGTAGTGTCACTATTGTCTAGTAAGTTAATGGCAAGAATGTTTTGATGGTTATGTAGTCGTTGTAAGTATTTTGCGCTGGTCTTGTTAATTTCTTCTTTTATTGTTGACATTTGTAAGTCTCGGTGTATTGTGGCGTTCGTTACGTACCAAGGAGCATTTACAAATTTTCTTAAGCTTTTAGATTGGAAGCGTTGTAATATTTCAATATTTGAATTTTGAGCTGCTCCCCAATGTTGTATTCCATATGTCCAGACAGGTTTTAGTAATGCTTTATACAGAAGAATTTTGTTTGACTCGCTTCTTAACTCATTAACACAAGCATTGCACACTTTATGAGGGGCCAACGTCTTTTCCCCCAGTTTCATTTCAAAATGAGCGTTACAAACATTTCTAAGAAATTGGGTTATATTCTGTCTGGGTATGTATTTGGGTTATTCACACACCTTTTCATGGTTATACCATGATAAATATTTAAACAAACGAACTCTTTCTTCGAAACACTTTACTTGAGCTGCATTCGATATTTTTAGTCAACACTGGTTGATTTAATTTTTGCAGTGACCGCTATTATAAGCATAGCGTTAGGCATACATATATCAGGAGCGGATCCTCGGGGAGGGAAATGAAAATCCTCCCGCCTCTATTTTTTTCTGTAATTAT